TTACCAGGAGGAGAAGCCATCCTGGAGCCAGCGAGGACTGTCCGGAACTCTCACCTGGAAAGTGGTGAGTTGCTGGAGACCAGAGCAGGGGCTAGTATTAGAACTGCGGCCTGCTGGGATCCAGGCCTAGGCACTACACTTCCACAGCATTTACTCCAGAAGCCAGATCAGACTGGTTCTGAAGATGAGGGAAAATCCACCGGCTTCAGGCAAGGGGAGGGGAAAGTAACCCTTTCACAATAGGCCCCTGGAAAGTAGCAATTTTCAAAGTCCAGTACATTCTGTGCTCCTAACCAAGGCCGGCCATGAAGGGACACTACTTGACTAGGGCCTTATCTTCCCAAGGGGGTCAGGGCAGAACCACGGCTCCAACCTCTTTGGCCTCCCAGTCTCACATCTGAGAGCAGAAAAAAAAAGGTCAAGAACTGCTTCTGAAAGTCACATCCCAAGGGCCCAAGCCCCCTGAGAGTCATTAGAAAATTCCAGAATACTGCCTTGTGGTGTTCCTTCTCTTTGGGCCACTGTTGCAATGATAAAAAACTGGTAGCATCGATGATAGAGATTTATTCTCACAGCATTGGAGGCTGAGGGTCCAAAAACCAGACGTTGTAAAGGCCACATTCTCTGCAAGAATCCCTTGCCTCTTCCTGGGTCCTGGTGGTCTTGACCTTCTGTAGCATTCCTTGGCTTTTACCATAGAAGAAACACAATTTTACCTCTACCCTTGTGATAGTTAATGTTAATTGTCAACCTGACAGGATCTGGATTCACCCTGGAGATGAGCCTCTGGGCATGCCTGGGAGGTGTGAGGTTAGCCTCTGGGCATACCTGTGAGGTATGAGGTTAGCCTCTGGGCATGCCTGGGAGGGATCATCTTGATTGGGCTAACTAAGGTGGGGAGAGTCAACCTGAAAGTGTGTGGCCTCTTTCCCAGGTTTGTGTCTGAGACTTCACACCAGAAGAGAGAGAGAGAGAGCTGAGCAGCACTCATCACTCCTCTCCCTGACGTGAGACCCAGCCTGAGCCGGTGCTTCGTCCTCTGCGGCCTTCACTTTCCTGCCAAACGGAAAGCCAAAATCAACCCCTCCTCCCTCCAGTTGCTTTTGTCAGGATAACTTATCACAGCCCACAGAAAAGTAACTGACACAGTTCAGCGTTTTCAGCTGAGCCCAAGATTTAAACTAACACAGGTGACTGACAGAGAAATGACCTGCAGATGCTTTAATAATATTGTGTGACACCAGAGCCCATAGAAGGAAATTGTCTAGGTCCATTTGGTGCTGATAACAAATACCACAGACTGGGTAACTGTTAGAGTGTCCAAATTTATTTCTTATAGTTCTGGAGGCTGGGAAGTCCAAGGTTTGATTCGATTGTAGTCTGCTGAGAGTCCATTCTGCATCCAAGATGGTCCCCTGAGTGTCAGGACTTAACATAACGTGAGCAGCAAAAGAAGCTCCTCCCCAGACCTCTTCCACATTGACATTGATGAGTCTGTGAGGGCCACCCTTAGGACCCAAGCATGACCTATTAGGCCCCACCTCTTAACACTGATGCTGCACTAGACATTCAAATCCCAACACATGAATTTGGGGGACACTGTCAAACCACAGCAGAACTGAAGACCCAAAGAAGCAATTAGACATAAACAGTCATATACTGAGTTGGACCAAGAATAAATAGTAAATTGCCCAAATATGATTAGGCTGAATGAAAATGAGGATATGACCGCTCCTAGGTACGGTTGAGGAGAAGGGTTTTAGTGTAGACATGAGGGAGGGTTCAGTCAAGGCATCTGGAAGGGTCCACACTGAACCGGGTCATAAGAGGAAAGAGGCTAGGAGAGCAAAAGAAGAGAAAAGAGGGCAAGCTGGCCAAGAGAGGAGCCGTGGACCAAAGGGCTAAGAGAACCAAGAGACCAAGATGACTATGTGGCCAAAATGGCTGGGTTATATAGGAAATAGATTAGCTGGGGGAAGAGAAGCAATCTAACCCCTGGGCTGGAGAGGTTTAGGGCAGGGGGCAGGTGAGAAGGGCTGGGAAGAGCTACAGGTATGGTGTGACGCTGGGAGAGCTGGCCTGCTCTGCTTTGATATGCTAATAGTCACCTCAGTTAGCCATTTGTCCCAGGTTTCTTTGTCTGTAGTCAAAGAGGCTTGAGCTAAGAGTTAATTGGGTGTGGTGGTGGCAGCTGCGGAGGCCGCCACCCAGCCCTTGGGAGACAGAGGCAGGTGGATCTCAGTGAGTTTGAGGCCAGCCTGATCTACAAAGCAAGTTCCAGGACAGCCAGGACTGTTAAACAGAGAAACCCTGCCTCTGAAAAAAAGTTGGAAAAGCAAGGAGGCAGATAAGGTTGGCTGAACAAGATTTGTTTGTACAGAATTTTCTCAGCTGTAGCTTTTTATCCTCGATATAAGAATGCTGCTTTGCTCCTGATAGGGGAGAGCATTGTCCATGCAAGGGAGGCAGCTTTTATTTCTTGTTTTCGAAAGAAAGAATGGGAAGGCCAAATCATCTTTTGTTACCTTGTTCTTTCCAAGGGCTTCATACTAAGTAGAATCCTTATGTCAAGGTAGTAGCACGCAGTGGGGTGTCACGTCCTAAGTCCCTTCAGTTCTGTATCTCTGTTTCTGTGTGTTTTCTTAAGGTACATCATTGGGAGTAGACTTGCGGTCCACTGACAGAGCACTTGTCGACGACACCCAGAGCCGGCTCAGCAGCTCACGAAACACGGTAGCATATGACTGTGATCCTAGCCATCAAGAGATGGAGGCAGAAAGCTCAGAAATTCAGGGTCCTCATGAGTTTAAGACCAGCTTGGACTATATGTCTCAACGTGTGTGTGTGTGTGTGTGTGTGTGTGTGTGTGTGTGTGTGCGCGCGCGCGCGCGCGCGCGCATGCTTGATCTTCTTACTAGAAATTTTGGGGAGTTTCACCAGAGTCACTATATAATACCAAAGAAACTGGGGGGGCCCTCTTGGAGTTCTTAGCCTTATTATAAAGAATCAAGGACAGACTCAAACAGGAGCTTGAGGACAGGTTCACTAGAGTTTAAAAGAAGAATCCCAAGGCAGGCAAATTAAAAATCATGGCAGTTGCTTGATGGAGAAGAAAGGGGAAGGGGAAGCCACGCTGTTTGAGTTAAGCTGCTGTGGAAGTCAACCACATGGCAGACAAGCAGACACATAGCAAGGAGGGAGTTTGAGTTTTAGAGAAAGAGCAAGGATGCCCAAAGCATGCCTCTTCCCCCTAAATAAATAAGCAAGCATTTTTAGGCTCTGGCCAGCATTTAAAAGAGAAAGACAAAAAAAGGAAAAGAAAAGAAAATGAAAGAAAAGTTACACTTGTCTGAGTCAGGACTCAGGCAGACTTAGCCAAATTTTATGGCAGCTCATCGGGGACTGAGCTGGGAGGGAGGAATGCTGGGAAAGAAAAAATTGTCTCATTAGTGGGTTAATTATTCCTCCTACTTATTTAGCGTAGTTTAAGGTGAACATGCCTTAAAGATGGTCTCTTAGCCGGGTGGTGGCGCACGCCTTTAATCCCAGCACTCGGGAGGCAGAGCCAGGCGGATCTCTGTGAGTTCGAGGCCAGCCTGGACTACCAAGTGAGTTCAGGGATTTAACACAAACCCCAGCCATTCTGTGGAGAGGGGGGAGGGCACCGAGGCTTCCAGCAGCTCAGTTTCCAGCCCTGTGCAGGCAATTCCCAGAGCTCGGGTCTGTTTTCATTCTTTTTTTTTTTTTTTTTTTTTTTTTAGGTTTTTTGAGACAGGGTTTCTCTGTGTAGCTTTGCGCCTTTCCTGGAACTCACTTGGTAGTCCAGGCTGGCCTCGAACTCACAGAGATCCGCCTGGCTCTGCCTCCCGAGTGCTGGGATTAAAGGCGTGCGCCACCACCGCCCGGCCTCATTTTTACTTCTTTAATTGGCTTATTGAGGACCAATGTCAAAGCCTGACTTGTAACAGTTATCAAGTCCCAGTGTCTTCCCTTCACAACTTTGGTAACAAAGTTTCCCCAAAGTCTCATGTTATAGAAGTTTCTTTTGCCTACTTGCGGAACTTTTGGAGGTGGTAGAAAAATCAGGAGGTGAAGCAGCATAGAAGAATTTATACCACTGAGGGTGTGCCTTTGAAAGGCATCCTGGGGCTAGGCAAGATGGCTGATCAGGTAAAGGCACTCGCTGACAAGTCTAAGGGCCTGAGTTTGATCCCTGAGATCCACATGGTGGAAGCAAAGAACCAGCTTGAGCAATCCATCCTCTGATTCCACTCATATGCCACAGCCCCTGTGCCACCCTGCCTTCCATCATACATACAAAATAATACATAAAATGTTCTGTTTTAAAGTGGGAGGATATTGGAATCCTGTTTCCTTCCTTCCTTTCCATTCCCCTACCTCTTTTTTTTTTCTTTCCTAGCACCTTGAGGTGAACAACTTCCTCTGCTCCATGTTCCCACCACAGGCACTGAAGTGCCTGGGCCAACCATGAACTGAAGCCTCGGAAACAGTGAGCCAAAATCAGTATTTCCCCCTTTAAGTAAGATATTTTGGCACAACAAAGAAAAGCTGGGTAACAAATCTGTTAACCCTGAAAAAGTCTATGGTTAAAATCACCCAGCCATGCAGGAAATCACCTTGCACACATCCCTACCTCCACCCCATCCCCAACTCCCACCCCATCCTCATCCCTCACTCCCATCCCCACCCCTCCACCTCACCCCCATCCTCACCCCTCATTTCTACCCAATCTGCCACTTCCACCACATTCCCATCCCTCTGCCACATTCCCTTATCCTGTTCCCCCATCCTTACCCTCTGCCTCATTCCCCCACTCCAACCTCCATCCCCATCCTCCACCACATTCCATCCCCCCACTGCCTACCTTATCCCCTGCCCCCGCCTATCCCCATTTCCTACTCATCATCCACCTCCAACCCATGTAAATGCTTGCGAAGTACCTTGGATTTGAAGGACTGTCTGTGGAGGACTTGAGGGTGAGATATGCAGAGTCTGATTTGATTTTTGGCCATAGTGGGAACCAAGATGCATGTGACTTTTTACAGGAAGTGGTAATTCTTACCTTGGGGGACCTCAAGGCCTGAGCTCACCAGCCCTGGAAGCCCAAATAGAGCTATAGAATGGTTTACTGAAAAAGTCCCTTGAGGGTCTTGTGGTCAGAAGGTTGCTCGCCCCATTAACGTGGCTTCTGTCAAGATATCTGGAGTTGCAGGCTTCGGCCAAATTATGCCGACCACATTAAGTATTTTCATAAGAGCCCTAAAGGTCACCTGTCTCCATGATCACTTCACACTCCTCACTTCAGTCAACAATACCCCCCACCTCTGTCTCTTTACTCCATAACAGATGAGTAGGGTCTGTTTGCATTACTCCATCCTTCCAAAATCCAGTTTTAGCTTTTGAATCTGCTAAACATATGTGTGGTTCTAAAGTGAAATGGAGACGAGGTATACAAGCCTCATCGCCCTGCCTCCCCCTCCCACCATGTTTCTCTTTTGTATCTGTGTACCTCTTTTCACATAACTGACACACCCACACACTCTAATTTTTCTCTTTTCAATATTAAGTTCAGCATTTCCTCCTTTGCTTCTTACCCTAAACTTTGCTATCCACCGACAGCCCCTACTACTTACTCTCTTCCCTTCTTGTGCTAGAACATTTTTCCTTCACATGGAACCCTCCTGTGGTTGGTTTCTGTGGAATCTACCGACGCTGGATAGATATGCCTTGTTGCTGGGCTATGGGGAATATGGAGCTCCTTCTGGATCCTCTACATCCTCCTGATCCTGAAGGTTATGAGAAAGTGCAGGACAAGGTTCCAAGTGGGAGTGAGATTATCCTGCAGTCGGCCCTCCTGCCTGTCTGTTAGGGCAACCGCAGCTTTGGAGGTATCTTTTGGGGGGGAGAGTTTGGCATTGGCAGATTATGAAATGCTGCAAGCCAAGAGCTGACTTCTGTGCCTTCTGTTGATCACAGTACATGATTTTAGTCTGCGTGTGGCAACTCACACCTGTAATCCCAGCACTAGGACCACTGGGGCAGGAGGATCAGAAGCTCAAAGCCATTGCTGGCTACATAGTGAGACTATATCTCAAAGAAAACAATGGGGTGCATGGGACTGGAGACTGGAGTCGTGGCTCAGCAGTTAAGAGCACTCCCTGCTCTTGCAGTGAGTTCTGTTCCCAGAACCTACATGGTGAGTCACAATCCTCTGAAACTCCAGTTCTGATACCCTCTTTTGATCCAGGCACACAGACATACATGCAGGCAAAATACCCATACACATAAACAGAGAAAGCACATACTCTTTAAATTGAGGCAAAATTCATGCAACATAAAATGTCCATTTTAATCACTTTAAAGTATACGTTCAGTAACTTTAGGATATTCACTAGGTTGTGTATGTGTTACGAGAAACCTTATTCCCAATTATCAATCCCTTCTCATTTCCCTTCCTCAGCCCCAGCAGCCATGGAACTGCTTCATGTCTGTGGATTTGCCCATTCTGGATGCCTCATGTATATAGAATTATATAGATGCCTCATGTATATACAATACAGATACTTTTGTGGCTGGCTTCTCTTCAAGATTTATCCATTCCCAGCACCACTCAGTACTGGTTTCCTTTTTAGGATTAAATATCTGTCATATGGGTGTTCTGTAGCCTCTTCGTCCGTCCACCAACTGATGGACATGTGGGCATCTTCCACAATTTAGTCTGGTCTTGTGAACAGTGCTGCTCAGATGCTCAGATGCAAATCTTTGTTTGAATGCCCATACTCACTCTTTGAGAGTGTTCCTAGGAATGAGCGACCAGATCTTATGGTAACTGTTTACACATTTTCTTTTGGAGAACACTGGAGAGCAAAGCTTGAGCCATGCACACGGTAAGCATGTGTCCTAGCATGTTTTCCTAGCAGAACTGTTCCCTCACCGGCCACATCATTTTACATCACCAGCAGCCAATGTATGAGTATTGCAGTTTCTCCACCTGCTCATTGAACATCTTCTTTTTGAGATACAGTCTCTCAATATAGGCGAGGCTTTCCTGGAACTTAGAATGCTCCTAGCTCTGCCTCCCTGGTGCTGGCTTGCCTGTGTGCCTGCCTTCTTTCCTTCCTTCCTTCATTCTTTCTTTCCTCCCTCCCTTCCTTTTGATTGCAGCCATCCTAGCGGGTATGAAGAGACCGAAACTTCTTTCCGCCCAGGCTGAAGATGTCCTCCCTTTTGTCTTCTGAGGCTGCAGTGAAACTTCCAGTCTCCTGCAAAGGAGATGTCTCTGTTATTGTTTTACTAACTTGGTGACTAGAGAGGCTCATGACTACAGGCTGGAATCCTGTTGTGTGCTGAGTGTGGTTTTGGCTGATGGTAGAACCCCAACACAGCACTGCCCTACTGATATTATATTGAACTGAAACCCACACCAATCCAGGAATCAATTGAAGAACTCTGATGGGTTTGTTCTGAGGATATCTGGTATGTAGTAGATTTACTGATACCACTCTTATCATTCTGAAACTCTTTTCTGCACGATATAGTATAAAACACACACACACACACACACACACACACACACACACACATTCTTTACTGGAAAACAATAGAGGACACTAGCCGCAAGTAAAAGTTAGAGAAAATCCCTACAATGTTAAATTTGAGGTGGAGAGACCAGTTTGAACTCATGACTAGAAACAGGATGATTCCCGAGTTCTGTCCACTGAAGGGTACAGAAGCTCTGACAAGCTGGTAACCATGGCACAGTTGCCCCTGAGTCCTATACACCTCAGCACTACAGAAACCAAGGCTCCTTGAAACAGTGGTTGATCCTAGGTTTGGGGCTAAGGATGCATGTCACGCGCCTAGAATACCATGTCTGACCCAGAAAGTAAAACAGGACTCAAAGATAAATGTGATCTTGCCAAACTGATTCAGGAGCTGACCTCAGGCTGCTCTAAGGTGGGACAGTTGGAACATCAAAATGAACAAGGACAACCAGGCATTACACACACGCCTAATACTCTCAGAGGCAAGATGTGATCAAATCCCCCAGCACTGAAGTTACAGATGATTCTGAACTAACCCAGGTCTTCTGCAAGAGCAGCAAGTGCTCTTAGCCACCAACTCATCTCCCCAGCTCCCTGATTATTATTTAATTGGAATTCTTGAAGAAACAAAATAACCAACTAGATGTAAGAGGAATGAAACTTCATTCTGTAGCCCCCAGTATTTTCTCCAGTCAAGTGTCATCAGTTACAGGGGGAACCTGGCCCCCCACTGACCCTTTCACCCTGGGAGGATCCCATATTGATTATGAACAAGAATGGAGGGAGGCTTGGTGATCAAGTTCATACCAGCAGCCTATCTCACATTATTTGATCTCAATCTGACGCAATGAGTGAACTGATGCCCCAAATCCTAAGGCCAGATTCTGCACTAATAACCATGTTAATAAAGACGTGTCTACAACTAATGCAGACTCTTCCACAAAGGGAAAGTCACAAAACAAGCAAGCAGCAGCAATAACAAGGCAAGGGAAGAGCTAATTTAGATTAAAGACACAATGGCTAAACATCACACACAAATCTTGATTGCATCCTGGGCAGAGTTTGAAAAAAAAAAAAAAAGATCCCGCTGTAAAGGACGTCTGGGGGAAACCTGCAGAGCCCCAAATGCAGATGGTATGCTGCTATGGCTTCGATCGCAGCATTGTGGTTTCATGACAGGATGACCTTATTAGGAGATGTTGATAGATTTGGACGTGAGGTATCAAGATGTCAGCAGTTTGCTTGCCGATTGGAGAGAGAGAGAGGGAGGAGAGAGGGGGGGAGCATTATGTTAACAGTTACAGAGTAAGTAAGTCCTTGTATTCTTCTTCAAATCTCCAGGCTTGAATTTTCAAAACTGGAAGTCCTGGGGGTAGGTGGGAATGGCAAAGCACACAGAGAATGCTGTCATCGAGCTAGCAGCCAGACTCAAGGCACTGGAGGATGCCTGGTGGGAACCTCTGCGCCGAGGTGCTGGGCCTCGGAAGCCTCTGGTCTAGAACACCTGTTCTGATGTGACCCCTGGACTCTGCAAAGGGAGCCTCCACTTGAAACCACCACTGTGGTTCCAAATGGCAGCTGGAGCTGGGGAGATAAGTGGGGAAGGGCACATGCGGACCCCGATGACTTGAGTTCAATCCTGGAACTCACATAAAGGTAGGAGGAGAGACCCGACTCCACAAAGTTGTCCTCTGGCCTCCACACGGCACACATACTTTAAAAATTAAAATAGCATGCATTCACCTACTTACTCAATTATCTGACCAGTATTCCTCCTGCAGCACCAACAATGCCCAGGCAGTTTGGAGCGTTGGGGAGACTATAGAGAACAAGTAACCACGGTCTCTGCCCTCACAAAACAAATGTGACAAGTATCCCCAGGAAGAAGGAAAGCGGGCACCTATCAGAGATGGTGACGGGACGAGCTGTCTGAACTGACATTTGAGTGACAAGCAGTGCTCTGGTTTGAATATGATTTTTGTGTGTCCTCCAAAGGTTGATGTGTTGGAAGCTTGGTCTTCAATGTGGTAGTGTTGGGAGATGCCATAGCCTTTGTAGTCAGGGCCTTGTGGAAGATAGATGATGGAAGAGTGAGCCTTAGCAGGATTTCATATAGTTCTTGAGGGGTCCTGGTTAAGTCCTTCAAGTGTGAATTGTTACCAGAGAGTAAGTCTGGCTTCTGAACTTCTCCAAGTCAGCATGTGACTGCCCCCTCTGTATGTGAGTCCAGCATGATGTTGTCAGTCATGTGATGTAGCCAGAGGGCCCTCATCAGGGCAAGTACATGCTGGTGCTACACTCTGGAATCTACAGAACTATGAAATAAATGAACTTACTTTCTTTAATAAGTACCCCAGCCTCAGGTATTTTGTCACAGCAAGGGAAAAAAGTGAAGAAATACAAGCAGGGGATATAATACCCAGGGTTTCGGGTGTGTGGGGAGGGCGCATAGATCTGGGAAACGATATGGAAACTATCAAGGGACACTCTCAGGGTTCCAGTTTATAAAACTGACCATATGGTGATAACCTTCATTAGAAAGTTCTAGAAGAGGGGGGTTGGGGATTTAGCTCAGTGGTAGAGCACTTGCCTAGCAAGTGCAAGGCCCTGGGTTCGGTCCTCAGCTCCTTAAAAAAATAGATAGTTCTAGAAGAGGTATGTAGAGGAGGTGGAGGAGACAGACGTCCATGCAGACCACTGAACACACACTGGAGAAGCCCACACTTTGCTACGAGTATGTGAACTGTTCACAGATTGGTGGCCACAAAAGCTATGTATGGCAGGGACTTGTGTTTTTTTATTTTTTATAAGATTTATTAATTTATGGGTATGAGTGTTTTGTCTGCATGTACATCTGCACACCAGAAGAGGGAATCAGAATTCATGCGAACTATAATTATAGATGATTGTGAGCTGTCATGTACATGCTGGGAATTGAACTCAGGACCTCTAGAAGAACAGCTAGTACTCTTAACCACTGAGCCATCTCTCCAGCCCCCAGGAACCTGTCTTCTTCTTCTTCTAGAAATGACTACTCTTCTCAGGAGGATATGCTCAGAGTGATCTCAATTCCGAATTCTTCCTGGTCATAAGGCAATTCTGGCAGGATGGGTGACCATTTCTGGCTATGACAGGGCTCTGTTGACTCTTTCCTAAAAGCAATGTGTGGAGCAGGACATGAAGGAGCAGCTCAGGGACACACCCACGTGTTTGGGCACATATACATCCAGACACGATTCTTTGTGGATTTGCTAGACCAGAGGTGTCTGTCAGACCTGCAAGGGTTCAAGATGTCACTCACTCATATTTGACCAACCAAAAGAAGTCCCAGAGTCCATGCTGGAGAGTGGAATCCTCCCTCCAACCGCCAATCCCACTACTCCAAAACTAAGAAATTCTCGGTATAAGAATGTGTTGTATGGAAAATGCAACAGTGGGATGAGGCTCTCTTCCAGGTAGACACCTCAAAGGAGTGATGAAAAAGGTCACACAAGGAAGAAGGGTCTGGGGTGTGGAACAAGCACCCCAGGAATCAGACAATGTGAGCAGGTGGTGTACTCACTCCCTGGGGCTCCTGCAACATAAGAGCACAAACTTGGTAACTTAAAACAAAAACTTTCAACCGAAGACCCAACCCCTAAGTGAAGGTGTTGGCAATGCCACACTCCCTCCAGAGACAAGAGAACAGCCTGGTCTCACCTCTTCCAGCTGATGGCTTCCGGTGACCTTGGCTTGTGACTGTAACATTCTAATCTCAGCCTCTGCCTCCATCTCTTCCTCTGTGCATCTCCGCTGAACGTCTTTCGAAGGACACATCTCATTGGATTGGGGGTTCATTCAGATAGTGGTCCTATGAATCATTTCCTTTCGAGGTCCTTCTGATATTTGCACAGACCCTATTTCCAAATAAGGTTGCCTTCCCAGGAATTGTAATTTGGACATGAGACTTTGTTAACAAACCATCAGGGATGGGAGGCAGTGGTTTAACTTGCTTGCTTTCTGACTTGGTGACAGCGTCTTGTGGCAAAGACCACTCATTCTGGAACTACACTGAGAAACCCATCTCTGCCACAAGTTCTCACCACTGTAGAAAACAAAAAGCATTCTGGGAAATGCTGGTGGACTCCATCTATGCAAATGGTCCTCTCTTCAATGGCTGCTCCCACACGCCCTGCACTTAAGTTCTTTGCTCATTAACTCAGAACCAAAATGTCTTGCCTTTTGTGGAATTTATGGCTTCTGGCATTGGTGTTGCTTGCCTGACCTGCACCAGTCTCGTGCAAATGATCCTTTGGCAATGAATCCTGAGCTGCCATGTGATGGCTTTTGCACATCAGCTTTGGAACTGTTCTGTCCCTGATGCCTAGAAGTGGGGGAGTAAGAGTCACAAAAGTCAGTACATGAAGCTAAAATGTCTGTGGCCCAAATCATCCTGTAAACCAAAGGAGCCAGCACCTCCATGTTCCAGAGGAAAACCCACCAGCCACCTCACACTGAATGAGAGGCTCCCTCGTTCTGGATTGAAGTATGGGTGGGAAGTGGCAAGAAAGAAATGTGCTAAAGAAATCTTTCTCTTTCCCTCCTCCACACCCAGATGTTGTAGTTAGCTTTCCCACGTTGTAGGGAATTCACAGCATGTCATGTTTGTGGATGAGCCAAGGTGGGCCTAGCCTCTCAAGGACAGAAGGAAAGCCCTTTGCGACCGCTTGAGGGGGCCACAGAGCAGGGCAGGTGCTGGGTACAAGTCTCTGGGTGAAGAGGAGAGGACCAGGAGGTGATATCTATACCTATGGTCTTACTATTCCAAGGGATTCATTCAGAGACCACTCAATCCCTTTACACGAAAGGAATTATGGGTGAAAAATTAACAGGGAGCTGAGTCACCTCTCTGCCTTTCTCTGTGTCTTCGCTGCATCCAGGCTGAGGCTCTTCCCTGACTGAGTCTATCTAAAAGGTCCTAAGGACAGGGCTCTTCCTGTTGTCCTCTCCTCCATCTGGACTCTTTCACTCTGAGGATTCCTGGATCTACACCACGATATCCCTCATCCTCCCACCTCCCCCAACACTTCCAACCTCATCTCCCACAACCCTCAAAGCACCCGCCCCCCCAAGAAGCCCAGGGCTGTAGTCTGCACCTGGGTAGGAATGGATCTCCCTGCCAGCACCGGCCCCTCCCTTTCCGCAGGCATCACTTCCCTAAGACAGGTGGATCATAACTGTGAACTGGGAGGCCTCTACGTGCTGGACTAATTGAAAGTATTCACTGAATATCTCTTACTCAGGACACACTAGGTCAAAGGTGTGGACACAAAATCAAGCTGCGTGGTAAAGTCACAATGTCTTTGTCCTCCCATACCCACTCCGCGGCTCTTTCCCTTCCATCTTGTCTCGCTCCCTTCTCCCCAGAAGGCGAATCACCACCCCTTCAATCTTTGGAGTCAGCTGAGAGTTGAGGGTTCCAGGACTGGAGCTGGATCCCCAGGAGGAATTAAACCGAGAAAGGAACTCCGAGGGACGGGACCCCCCACCCGCACCCCCACCCCAGGCAGTGGGCTAATCCCTTGGTTCCAGCACCTCGCACTCCTCCGGCCACAGCGGTCCTGAGACTTTGAAAAGGAAAGCAGAGCAGGACAAACTTTGAAGAAAGCTCCAGGTTTGCACACAGTTTTTCCGGCATCTGTCCTGACCCTGGGGACTCCCCAGGGCCACCTAGATCAAAGAGCAGGCGACTGTGCCTCTAGTCCTCTGACCTGCAACCATTCAGCGCCCCCTGGTGGTAGCGGTTTCTCTGCCAGAGCCCACGCCGGGGCCAGGGTGCAAGCAAGGTTTTAGTTTCCCTAACTGGGAAGAGAACACAATTCCTCCTGTTCAGTACAGAACACGAGGCCCTTTCTCTTTTCTTTTTAAAAAATAATGTGCTTCATATTACCCGAGAAATGTGTACAATTTTTGTATTATGTGTATTACAAGTTCTAAAAATTAAAGTACCATACATTTGTTTCTTCAAAACACAGGCAAATAGAAAGAAAATTCCATATCAATTTGCCAATAAAGATTCAGGGCACCCAGATAAATTTGGATTTAAGGTCCATAAAGAATAATTGCATGGGGGCAATTATTAGTAATTGATTTAAAATTCAATTTTAGGTACCTTTTTGTGTATTTGCTAAATCAACAACTCTATACCCTTAACAGTGTTTTCTAATGACCTGGACTTTGAGATATCTGGAGACTGTAGTCTCCCAAGCTCTTCTGTTATCCTCAGCCCAAGAGTCTTTTCTGTTCCTTCCCTGGCTTTACCTCCAGGGATGCCCTTGCTTCTGGCTGTGACATTCCAGGAGACACACCAGCCTCAGTTCACAATACAGAAAAGCCCAGGTGGGGCTGTCCTCAGTCTAATGCCTCAATCTCAGGACTCACACTGTGGGTCTAACCCTTCCCTGGGACTCCCTAGTCGCCAGCTCTGTTATCTTGCATGTTGCCTGGAGCTCAGTTACGCCTTTTAATTGTGACACGGTGGACTATGGTAACCATGGTAACCATGGTGATTACTGTGGGTTCAATCAGTCTCTTCCCTCACTAGATGACAACCTGCACGTGGTGGGAAAACTCAGACCTATCAGGATCTCCCTCACATTTTATGGGATATGCTCAAATTGCTTGCACATAATAGGCATTCAAAAACTTCATGATAAAAAATAAACCCCAGAAAAGGAAAGAGTCTCCCATATCTGGTGTGTGGGGATGGAGTAAGGAATAAAAGTGAGTTTGGGGGTTCTGTGGAGAGAAAGAGGGCTTTGGGTCAGACATACTAACGTGATTCCTTGCTCTGCCATTTTCTGGTTATATGATTTTGTGGTCCCTTCTTATGATATGCCACAACCGCACTGGCTTAAACCAGTGCATCTTTGTGGTTGAATTTAACTCTGAGCTGCAGTCCTCTCTAGAGGCTGGAGAGAATCCATTTCCTTCCCCATTTCCAACTCCTAAAGACTACCCCCAGTCCTTGGACTCTCGGTTCCATTTGATCTTCAAAGCCAATGTTCTGACTTCCCTCTATAGTCCTATTTCCTCGGCCTCTCTTTTGAGGACCCTTGGGATTAGAATAGACCCACCTGGGGGAAATTCAGAATAATCTGCTCTAAAACCATCTGTAACTTTTCATCCCCTTCCTTGGGTAACCTAACATATTCATCACAGGCTAGAATGAGGACATCTGCGAGACCAACAGGTTGGCACATAGAACTATGGCAATGATGGAATCTCACACAGGCTGTATGTTTATAAAATGGAGTTCCTGGCCGGGCAGTGGTGGCGCACGCCTTTAATCCCAGCACTCGGGAGGCAGAGCCAGGTGGATCTCTGTGAGTTCGAGGCCAGCCTGGGCTACCAAGTGAGTCCCAGGAAAGGCGCAAAGCTACACAGAGAGACCCTGTCTCGAAAAACCAAAAAAAAAAAAAAAAAAATGGAGTTCCTACAATAGTTAGTGTAGATTAGGAATAGTAATTGTACTAGTTACCTATTGTTATGTAAATTATAATTACCTCGAACTTAATGAGCTAAACCAATGTCATCTCAGCCCGAATCTGGGGGTCAGAAACCATAGTGCAGCTCAAGTGAGTGGTTCTAGTTGGAGTCTTTCCCAATGTTGCAGACAAGATACATATGAAGGCTCCAGTTCTTTAAGGTTGACTGGGACTGAGCACTTCCAAGATGGTGTGTTTAATAGCTGCTGTAGGAGGCCTCAGTCTCTAACCATATAGACCTCTTCATGGGGCCACAAGAGTGGCATCCCCCTGACATACTGGTCCAAGCAAAAAACAAAATAACAATAACAACAACAAAAAACCCATAAACTACAATAACTTTTGTTTATTTTTTAATATAGCTAAGCATATCATTGTTGTTTAGAATAATTCTGAAATAAGTAAAAATTAACTATAAGGATACTCAATTTTTTTTTATTCAAAAGAATCAGAAAATCCTTTCTCAGGACTGAAGAGATGGTTCAGCAGTTAAGAACACTGGCTGCTCTTGCAGAGGACCCAGGCTAGATTCCCAACTATACCTAGCAATTCACAACCACCTGTAACTGGATTCCAGGGGATCCAGTGCCCTCTTCTGGACTCCACAAGTACTGCACACATATAGTGCATATACAGATAAGCAGGTACACACACATAAATACAATGTTTTTAGTTAAAGACAATTCTTCCTCAAATGTCACATATGCCCATGAGGTACCAGACAAGTGTCTCACATATGATCAAACCCTCTCACTCCCAAGGGTGGAACTGGTACTTAACCAGTCAAGTGGAGGCTTTATTTCCCAACCTGGGTTGTTCATGCAAGATGAACAGAAATGATGCATCCTGGGCCAAAAAAGAGACTGCCTTCCTCTCCTTCCTTTCTAATCCTTCTGCTAGCCAGGAGCTACAGAGCCCAGGACCAGCAGCCCTGAAGGCAGAAAAGAAGGTCCACTGTTGAGTATGGTGAAGGGCCTGCATCAAAGACAACAGAAGAAATAAAGGATTATTTCTAAGTCCTGTGCTTTTAGATCTCTCCATTATATCAACTTAAATGCAACCAAGGAGTTTAAACCCATTAACCCCAATATTCATTACTTAACACTAGCTGATGTGATGGAGCCCTTGTCTTTAATGCCACTTCTTGCCAAAGTCTCCTCCCCTTGCTTAAATGATAGGACCTTAGGGGGACCCTGAGAGCCCTAGGGACCAGTTGACTCTCATCTTCTGCCCACCTCCCAAAAGTCTCACAGAGTCTGGTAGACCTGACACTTCTCTGTTTCTCTGCCACACTGTGGCTTCAGTGTGCCATGGGCTGATGAAGGGGAGTGCCCCACGACAGGCCCGTATAAGGAACCTCTGACAGCTCCAATTGAAGTTGACCTGATGAACAGCTGCGGAGGGGACAAAGCTGTTCAGATCTCCAGAGTCTGAGACCTCTGCTCCTTTCCTAAGCAATCTGCCCCAATTTAGGACTTTTTCTTTTCTTTCTTTTTTTTTCTTGTTTGTTTGTTTTTCGAGACAGGGTTTCTCTGTGTAGTTTTGGTGCCTGTCCTGGATCTTGATCTGTAGACCAGGACGGCCTCAAACTCACAGAGATCCACCTGCCTCTGCCTCCCGAGTGCTGGATTAAAGGAGAGTGCCACCACCGCCCTGCAGGACATTTTCATACAAACTGGATTAGAAAGCAAAGGTCACAACCTAGGTGAGGCTTCCTGCTGCCGTGGAGATCTCAGTCTCAGACTGCGTCACTCCTTCACCCAGCTCCCTAGAGAAAGACCAGCTCGTTGAGTTGGTGGTGGTGCCTTTCAGATTTGCTCAGTTAAACGGAAGGGACTTGGAGTCTGGCTGTGGAGGGTAGCTGAGTGTCTTTTAAGGTTAGCCCTTCTGGCTTTGCCTGGACTTGCCTTGGGGCTTTGGAATTTTTAGTGGGATTTCAGCTCAGGGTTTTCTGGCTATCAGCTTACCTTGTGTATGTATGTATGTATGTATATGTTTATATATAAACTTTTTTTCCTCCAAGACAGGGTTTCTCTGTATAACAGCCCTAGCTGTGCTGGAACTCACTTTGTAAACCAGATTGGCTTCGAACTTACAGAGATCCAGCCATCCGAGTGCTGGGATCAAAGGTGTGCACCACCACCGCCCCCTTGTTGTTTTTTTGTTTGTTTGTTTGTTTGTTTGTTTGTTTCGAGACAGGGTTTCTCTGTGTAGCTTTGCGCCTTTCCTGGAACTCACTGGGTAGCCCAGGCTGGCCTCGAACTCACAGAGATCCACCTGGCTCTGCCTCCCGAGTGCTGAATTAAAGGAGTGTGCCACCACCGCCTGGCCTGTTTTTACTTTTATATTTAAAAAAATAGCCGGGCGGTGGTGGCACACGCCTTTAATCCCAGCACTCAGGAGTCAGAAGCAGGCAGATCTCTGTGAGTTCGAGGCCAGCCTGGTCTACAGAGTGAGTTCCAGGATAGGCTCCAAAGCTACACAGAGAAACCCTGTCTCGAAGAAAAAAAATTCAAGGCTCGTTTTTACAGGAAAATTATCAAAAGGAACAAATTACCCAACTACCAGGATCCCAATCTCTGTGGTTGTTGTGTGCAGACCTCATCCGGTCCTTAAAATGTCCATCTACCGTCTAAAAAGATGTGCCTTTTGAATTCACACACACACACACACACACACACACACACACACACACACACACACACACTCTGCCCCAAGGTCATCATGTATTATCCCAGCTTCCAATATCAGTTTTCCTATGTTGGAAGATTCTCAAGGAATAGTGAGTGGGATAGAGGCCTTTGGCTGCCTGCGGCAGGAGGCTGTAAGACCGAGGGGTATTATGACATGCTCCAAGGGAAAGACAGTTTTCCCTTTGGCCAACCAAGGCTCCCGCCCATTGGGGCAAGGGAGCCGGACCGACATGGAACAGAGGCCTGGGGAGCAGCCCTCAAGGGCCCAGAAGAAGAAAGTTGAGGCTCAGCCGGAGACCCTAAGTCAGACTGTCTCGGGCCGCGGTCGGGTGCTGCTAATAAGAGAGTTCTTGAAGCAGGAAGAGAGCTACACGACCCTGCAGAACTTTCCGGGTCAGCCTCCGAAGGATCCGAACGCTGAGCCCACCTGCAGCCAAGCAACAGACTGCCAACGTAGGTCCAGCAGTGCCAGGCGGGGACTCAAGCGTACCGGCGACTGCTTGGCAGACAGCCCCGAAGCCCCGGCCACCAAGTCCAAGTGCCTGGCGGAGAAGTCGGAGAGGGCGGAGAAGCCGGAGAAGCTGGAGAAGCAGCAACTCTCGGATCTCAAGGAAAAGGACTTGCCCGATTGCGAGGCGCCTCGAGCTCTACCCGAGGCCCCCAGCTCGGAGACGGCAGAGATCGCCGAACTAGGCTCGGAGCCTGGCAAGCAGCTGCTCCTGGTGCTGTGCCACGCGTCCGCGCTGGGCACGCAGCTGCCTCGGTTGCAGCTGCTCCTGCAGCAGGTGCGCATCCAGGACCGCCGCCCGCCAGCCGCGCTCGTCGGAATCCTGGTGCATCCGCGGCCGGATGAGGAGGCAGAGTCGCGCCGCCGTCTGGAGGAACTGCTCTGCAGCGTCTTCGCTTCAGAGAACCCAGGGGTCGAGGTGCACACAGCAGTGTTCTGTCCCAGCCGCTCCCAGGGTGTCCTGGATGTCCAGCGCGCTGCCAGTCAAGCGCACATGGACACCCTAGTGGATCGCCAGACCCAGACGGATGGTGAGGGGCCCGAGGGTGGAGACTGGGACTATTGTTCCCCTGAGAAGCGAGCAAATCCCTGACCTACTCCTTGTGTTGGCGTCTGCAGAAGTGTGGGGGTACAATTTGAATGGTAATGAGCCAGCGTCCTTTTCCCAAGATGTGCGGGCTGGGACAATCTGAAAGGGCTCAAGTTAACCCAAAGGGTTACCTCTCCCACCCATCTGCCCTGCCCACAGTTTAGGAGAAGTCATGCTTTTTTAACATCCTGATGGGGTGTTGTAGGACCTATAATAGCCCACCCTCTCCTCTCCAAATTCACTGATCGATGCCCTTCCTGGTTCTTTAGTGAGCTACTTATCTCCTGTTACTCCTCCAGGGGATAAAAAAAAAAAGTCAATAAAACAGCCTATTAGGAGCCAGTCAACTGTGCAAAGGGTTCTCACCTCCAGGCTTCACAGCAGCTCTCTAAGGCTGGGACTTCGGGAGAGCAATTTTACCCAAACCCCTAAGTCCTTCCCTGTGGCCCTGGGGGCTAATTTGTGGCCTAGGGTCCTTGAGCAGTAGGATCTTAACGTGAGCTCCAGCACTTTCTGTTTCCAGAAGCTCCTTTCAGGGACAGCAGAGATCAGAAAAAATGTTCTGAGCACAGGAGCCTCAGTGCCGCCTTAGAGTCTGCCACCTTTCAGCGAGTGGCCTAGCTCCCTCTCTTTAGACCCATCACCCTCGCACATGACATGCAAGGATGAAAGACTGCTTGAGACCAGATTCAGCACAAAGAGGCTAGCTTCCGGATACACGGTGACACATTCATTCTAGTGTCCAGACAGAACACACTGAAAGGCCAGAACCTCAGGGACAGTTGAGGGGGAGGGTATTATCACTTTCAAGACCTTGTAACCTCACTACCTATCCCCCAACCTTTTAAACTTATTCTTTTCCTAAATAGCTGCTGACATGATTATGTTTCACATGGATAGTTTCACATGGTCGGCGCTCCTGGTTAAGAAAAGCCCCCGCTGATGGGCCATTCCGGCTGTGACCCTCAGCAGGAACTACAAAAATCCTAGTCCATCTTTGGCAACAGCCTCTTAGCAGTAAAAGCTCTCTGTCTCTGCCTAGTAGGACTGTGCTCAGTCCTTATGCTCGCTCTCTCTCTCAATTTAGACAGCTTGCTAAATCCTGCTGGCTGTCCTTGCCCAGTTCTGGGGGTTGGGGAAATGAACGCTAAGACAAAGCTAGAACAAGGCTAGTGCCCTGTGACTGCTCTGTAGAGGAGCCAGGCTCTTGGCGGGGAACCCCCACAAAGACTTCTCCCAGCTTCTGAACCACATATTTCCTTCTTAATGGTAGAAGCACTCCTCAGTCTGTATTCTGTCATCTGTCTCCCAGGAACACAGTCTGTGTGTCCCGTGACCTGTGGCCTCTCTTTAGGTGAAATGGAATAGCTATTTCATGGCTATTAGGACATTCTCCCCATATATGTATGTCCCTGCCCCCATCTGACTGTTTAAACCAGTTCTCAACCAGAAATAATGTTACCACCTCCTCAAAGCTCTGGCAGTATTTAGCCACAATCTGGAGATGTTTTTAGTTATCCTGATGGGGTGCTGACCAGTCAAGGCCAGAGAGGCTGCAGAGGTTCCTATGACACACAGCACAGTCTCCTGCAGGAGACGTGATCCAACGCATAGCATCAATCACGTCGGAGACTGAGAAACTGGCTTAAGCCAGGTTAAGCTCCTCCAGCAACGTCTTTCAGTGACTGAAAAGGCAATTTAGCCAAGATGCGCATCATTCAGACTTCCAGTCTCTCTGATTCTAAATGGCATCCCCTCAACTGGTCCATTGCTCTGGCCCTCAAGAAACTGCCCACTGGACCCCCTTACTCCAAAACAACCAAACAAACCTCGATGCCACTGATCTGAGCTTTAAACTTCCAATTCTCCATACCTTTCTTCAATCTTCTCATTCAAGGAACTTTTTTTTTCCAGTTCATTAATTTCAAAGCCTGTATAATCTGATTCCCTACTGCTCTCTGGAGTCACAAAGAAAAAGAACCCTTAATTGAAATTTAGTCCTGAGTGTGCTGACAAGCAGCCGGGGTGGGGAGGTATTATGTATGTAATTTAACTTTTCTGAACCGCAGTATCCTTTTTAGCAAAACAAAAATGTTAAATAATAATAATGATGATGATATAATTGGTAAAGTCTTTGCTGGCTCTAGAAGCCTGAAAACAGGTGGTCTCATTTCACTGCTGATGTCTAGTCTGGCCGTTGTGTGGGGCTGCTATGGGACATTTTTGGCTTGCTAGCTCTCCTCTGACCTTGTGTCATGCCCCCCCAAACAGTTGTGGGACTCTGACTAGGGCGGGTTACTTACCCACCCAGCTTACCTAGTTCATGGGAGGAAACTCTGTCTCTTGCTGGGAGCACATTTTTCTGTCGTCGTGTGTGACATTTAGGCTGTATTTTCAAAATGCCTTTCACTCTTCCACCCTAAAACGAGAGACACATTGTTGATTTCCAGGAAGATTCATAGTCTATTGGACCCAACCAGTGTCTTGGGAGGTAGTAAGTCTGTTTCACCGAGGTAACAGTGAAATTATTCGTTTTCTGAGAGCTGGCTTAAGGTAGAATTCTTGGCCAAATTCAAGGGTTCATATAAAAGTTCTCTCTCTCTCTCTCTCTCTCTCTCTCTGTCTCTGTCTCTGTCTCTGTCTCTCTCTCTCTCTCTCTCTCTCTCTCTCTCTCTCTCTCTCTCTCTCTCTCTCACACACACACACACACACACACACACACACGCACCCACAATCCCCTCCCACGACGAAGAGGAAGAATTTCAGGGATGACAGAGGCAGTGGGCTGTGGGAGGTAAAGTTCTAAAAGAAGCCAAATCTTCAGGAAAGTTCCCTAAAAACTTACTAAATATATGGCGACCAGAGATGCTTGTGTTTGGGGATAGACATGTGGAAACCAGTAACAGAGCTGAGAATCCTATCGAATAAAAGATAGCTCACATGGACCCAGGAACACGCAGTTGGAAAGGTGCCCGAAATGGGTGTTCTGGTCACAGAATCAAGGGGATCCGGTGGTCATAGGCCCAGAGACTGTCTTAATCAGGCCACGAAGAGATAGGGCAGCTGCTGCCCCCTACCTGTTCCAGCGGGAAGCCCTGGAAGAGGAAAGATGCTACAAGCGAAGACTATGCCAGAGCCCTTAGCCATGGGATCCACCCCAGCTTTTGTGACCTCACAGGAGGTATGGGTGACTCTTGTCTGTGGGACCTTGCTGTAATCAAAGACCAGAGCGACACCCATAAGGGAGACGGCCTCCCTAGGGAGGGAGCCAGGGAATTCACAGCTCCATGTAGCTCCACGGTGTTAGTCTAGAAGGACCACCATGAAGAAGGTCAAAAAGAAAAAGTCTGATTCCAGGCGCCGCCGGGATTCCGTGTCACCGCAGGCTAGCTCCGACTCCTCACAGCAGCACAGCTCAGAAACCCCGCCATCATGTCCGGAGCCCGCCTCGCCGCCGCCGCCGCCGCCGCCGCCGCCTTGCCCGGAGTTCACCCCGCCACAAGTGAACCCCGAGCCTATACCGCAGCAGCCTATATCCCAAGTTCTCCAAGTCGAGGAACCCCGTGCCTCAGCTCCGTGCCTGATGCCTTCAAAGACTGAACCCAAAGCATCCTTCCCCTCCGGGAAATCAGGTGGGCAGACTTCCTGTTTAAGTAGTTCTAGCCTTCTTGCTGATAGGGTCCCAGACCCACCGGAGGCGGGTTCTTGTACGGTGACCGTGTACGGTTAGTATGTTACCTGAGGCCATGTTTAGGAAGTATGAAGGGGAGTTACTACCAGAGAGACCAGGATTCCTGGGTTTGTCATTCCATACATCCCAGGTCTCACTGGGAACAGCCATGAATACATAATAACATTTAACTCGGCTCTATGGTCAGACTCTCATTGGGAGTCAGTCGGCAGCTGTTTGGAAATTAAAAGCAAATACAGTCTAGAAGAAGCGAGGCAGTCACATGTCTTATGACTACTTTTTTTGTCTGGCTGTTCTCATGAGAGACCTGACTAGTCCAAAGAAGATAGTCCAGGATGATGGGGGTGGGGTGGCTGCGTGACGGTTTTGGAGAGAAGGGGGGTTTTGTTTGTCAGGTGGAAGATGAGAGCAGAGTTTTTTCCCATGTTGTCTCAAGAGGTCTGACCTTGGCCCTACAGAGAAGAAAGTCAAATGAAATACAGGGTCCCTGGCTAAATTCTGGCTTCAGATAAACCACAAATAATGTTATAATTGTTAGTATGTGTTCCAAATAAGAATCCTGTATTTCTGTTTGCTAAGTTCTCAACCTTTTCCATAGAAGTTACTAGAAAAGGATCTGCTCAACGTGTAAAACAAACAACAGCAAAACCGAAACAAAACAAAAAACCCACTTTGTAGCCATCAGCTCTGTTTAAAATTAAGTGGCTGGCTATCAAAAATTGGTCTCCATCTTCCTGGATAGCCAATGAGAGGCAAAACTTTGGACAGTATTAAGGGGACTCAGGTGGAGTTGGAGATTGGGATGCTTCAGACTGCTAAGGATAACGGAGAGAGTCAACCAAACTGCTGACCATTCTTTGGGTACCTAGCACTCATGCTCAGCCATCTAAGTTAATAATATTATCTGATAGTACTACAGGGGAGGTGCTGTTCCTCTGTCCATTTTATAGATGAGGAAACCAGGGTTCAAATTAGCCAACACATCCTGGAGCAGCCATTGGTACTGTTAAAAGGGGAACTTCAGTCTACTCTGATTCCAGAATCCTAACCCTTAACCACAGCTGGTCTTGCAATTCCAAGAAGCCAGCTGGTCTCTCAAGGAGGAGGACGCCTTTCTCCGACCTTCCCTTGAGCCATGACCAAGTGCTCTATGTCCTTGAGCAGGCCACACTCTCTGGGTCACAGCGATCCTAAGACAGTCTGAGTAGAAAACAAATGTGGACACAAGCGAATGAACGCTCTAAATCCCAGGAACTGCCAGGACACCGGTACCTCTGTGACTGAGCAACAACCTGTCCTTGACATGTGGTAGTTGTATATAACGTGAGCATCAACCCTGGAGACAAACATTTCTGGATGATAGCCTCAGAACCCACATCAGCAGAAGGTAAAACTGTCCTGTATCAGATCTTTTAAATCTTGATTTGGTCGCTTAGATGAAGGGCAAAGCAAGGGGCAAAGAAGTGGCCCACTGAATTTGTTAACTTTCTCCTCACTGTGACCGAATGTCTGCAGTAACTGAAAGGATGAATTATTCATGTTGGCTCACAGCTTTAAGGTTATCCATGCATCAGTGGCAAGAAGCAGCTCACAGTGAATTGCCAGGAAGTGGAGACAGGAAATGGAGTACAGGAAGGACCCAAGGCAAAAACATGCATCTAGTATGTCTTCCTGCTAGGCTCCACCTCCTACCTTTTACCAACTCCCAATAATGCTACATTGTGAATCCATGAAAGAGATTAATCCAGCCAGGCGGTGGTGGCGCACACCTTTAATCCCAGCACTCAGGAGGCAGAGACAGGCAGACCTCTAAGTTCGAGGCCAGCCTGGGCTACAGAGTTCCAGGAAAGGCACAAAGCTACACAGAGAAACCCTGTCTCGGAAAGGGGGGGGGGGAATTGATTAATCCATTCATTAGATCAGAGCCTCCACAGATTTAATTTTTCTCCAGAAACACCTTAATAGACACACCCAGAGGTGTACTTTACAGATAATCTTGGCATTTTCTAATCCAGTCGAGTTGATGACATTCACCATCATGTTCATTGATGTTATAGTGGACACCTCATGTTGCTTCTTAAGGAATCTTCCCCCTCTGAGAAAGAGCAGGAAAGAAGGTTGGAAGTATGGGCTGAAGACTTTTAAACATATGATGTCACTTTCTAATGCAAGCCTTTTTAATGCAAAACATTGTGGCTCGAAGCAATACCAGTTCTCCGTTAGGGTGACATCGTAAAAACAATGGACAAAAACAAGTTGGAGACTTAGAATTTAGAATATACAGTTAGTAGAAATGTAAAGTGGGATGACCACTGTGGGAAACAATCTGGAAGTTTCTCAGGAAAACGTCAAGTTAACACGTGACTCATTCATTAAAAACACACCCACGCAGAAACCTATATGTGAACATTCTAACAGCGCTGTTCATAATAACTAAATGCTGGGAACAACCCAGTGTCCACCAGGTAATGAATGGATAAGCTAATGTGGTATAAAATACCAGAATATAATGAAACAGTACTTGTCAAGAAAAAAAGTGGCATGGTTTACGGATAATAGCTACAACACAGATGAACCTAAAAAATATTAGTCTGGTTGAAGAAGCTAATCCTCCCAAGAGCTAACATATATCATGATTTCATTTGCAAAATGCCCAGACTAGATTAATCTATTGCCATGGATAGGAAGGAGAGAGATGTGGATGTCTGATGACGAGGTAAGGTTTCTTCTTCAAGAGATGGAGGTGTTGTCGCCAAGCTACAGAGTTGTGGTGGTCACACAACTTCACAAACATACTAAAGCCACCTAGCACATTAATAGTTAATTTAAGGCCTTTGAGAATTATATCTCAATTTCAACTTTTTAAGCTGAAAAAATACCCCAAAGTGTTGTTTGTAGAATCCCTGCTTTCCCCATTTCAAGAAAAGCATGTGTTCCATAGATAGTCTAAGCAGTGAGTGTGCTGAACTTGCTGACTGACCAACCAGCATTATGGCACTTAAGACTGAAGCCCTTGTCAAACCCAGTTGGAATTATCCACCAAAAAAATGGCTTGGCCAGAAACAAAGGGTACCATCTCTCAGTTCTGCTGTCAGGTCCCAAAAGAGCACAGAAATGGTAGAAGAAACACGTGATGTTTGTTGTCAGGGTGAACTGGTACCCACTACATACATGGAACGTGGCAGCACCAACTCCAGGACTCTCGCTGAAGCCCCTCACGGGCAGTGCCGTCACCTGCTTGCATCACTTCCTGCCGGTTCCATGGAGGATTTTCACTGACTTAAAAGTTAAAAAGGCAGGATCTCTGAGACCAGCCTGTTCTACAGAGCAAATTCCAAGACAGCCAGGGTTACACAGAGAAACCCTGTCTTGAACCCGGTAGCGGTGGTACAAGCCTTTAATCCCAGCACTCGGGAGGCAGAGCTAGGAGGATCTCTATGAGTTTGAGGCCAGCCTGGTCTACAGAGCGAGAGCCAGGACAGGCACCAAAATTACACAGAGAAACCCTGTTTAAAAAAAAAAAAAAGAAAGAAAGAAAAGAAAAGAAAAAGAAAGAAAGAAAAGAAGAAAAACCCTGAGGTCTGCTTCTGTAAAGTACTTGCTGTATTCTTTGAGCCTCAGATTCCTTATCTGAAAAATGAAACCAGCAGCGTTCCATGTCACAGGATTTCTGTCGCAGTTAGACATGAATAACAACAGGGAGCACGATACAGGTGTAAGCAGTCACCTTTCGCTGTAATTCTTCCCAAGTAACACCAGTCTACACCCCACGCATTCTCCCAAGCGACTAGTCTCTCCTTGTGTTTGAAGGGTGGCACTGTAGGAGAGTGGCCTTCATGAGGCTTTCAACCTCACATCTTTGACAATGTCTTTTAAAAGCCTAGGGTTTGTTTTGGTAACACGGCAGCTGCCACGGGTGACTTCTAGAATTGCCCTGAGACTGTGTCCCACCCCCGGGAACCAAGTGCAGCCTGCCCTCATCTCTCCCCTTCTCTGCCCAGCAGTGCCTATGACCTGTGTGGCTCCACGCTCCTGCTCCTGTGCAGCCTGCCCTGGCAGCTCCGCTTGCTGGCGTCGTCTGGGGCTGTGCCACAGCCGCATCTTCGATGTTCTTCTGCCTCGGGACTGGCAAGCCATACCAGGGAGACAATTCCCAAACCTCCTCACCTTCTACAGGTTCCTGAGCCAGTGGGAGGGCTAGAGCCTTGAGTGTGCAGTTCCCAGGGCCAGGCACTGTCCTCAGACCTTATTAGCAATCGTGTAATAAATTCCTCCAAAAACCATAAGTCTTTCCAAAGGAAAGCCTTTCCCTCTAAATAACCAATTCTGCTTGGGTGGGCAGACTCTTGTGGTACCTTTCTCTTTTCCACCGAAGCCCTCATTCCTGAGAGTACCCTCCCACCTAGCCCATTATAAACTCCAGTCACCTGGGAGCTTTGTAATTACACATCAGTTGACCACTCACTTCCTTTTTTGTCTCATAGCATACACAGGGAGCATTTACTTATTACACCACATGTGAATTATCCCTGGAACTCATTGATAAACCTGATTATAACTCATAAGCCCCTTCTGCTAGTAATAGCAAAACCTGTCCCATTCAGAATATGTTACACTGCTACCCTAAGTATTCATAAGGACCATGTATTCCAGACTGGTCTGTTATTGGCAACCCCTCCTCCATCATGGCATCACCCAGTCTTTACTCTGCTGTTCCTCTTCCACAAAGACACCAGAAGAAATGTATCTAACCACTGTCACTCATGTGAAGTCCATGTTAAAAACAGACTGAAGACGGCCTCATTCTTGCGGGACTTCTGGGTTATGTGTTGGGGCTAGGAGAGGGGCCTCTACCCCCCTTGTACTCAAGACCTCACAAAAACCCCTAGAAGAGGTTCTTCCACTTGGAGGTCTCACGTCCTACATCAGGAGCACAGCTCACTGTCCCATCCACCTCCTCTTCTACCCTTTCCAGTTCCCTCTCTTGCAGAATATGAAAGAGAAAAAAAAAAACCCACACAGATACAGAGCTGATCTCGGGGAATAAGACATGCCTGGAGTCAGAGATACCATCTAGTCAGTCCCACCCAGGAAGAGTCTGCCCCCCACTCACCCACACAGTGTGTCCACTCACCTGCTGCCACGTTGCACTGAGAGCTCCCATGGGTGGAAGATCACAACCTGCTCTGGTAGGATTTAGGTGCCCTGAGGGACAAACACCTAGAGATCTTCACCTTCTCATGTGTTCATCTGGGGGAGCTAGCCAAGATGCATGCATTTAGAAACCTCTTCCCCAAACAGGAAGTGTTGGCTACAGGAGGGCTTCTGGGAGTTTCAGAGCAAGGCAGCGCCATGTCAGGGCCCACCGCATTATGTGCCCAGTGTAGGAGCCAACTCGAAAAGCATCCTGGGATCTTCTACGGCTTAAGATGAAGAGGAGGGGTGTTTTAAGCTGTAGGGGGGGCCAAAAACAGGGTTCAGACTTAGGAAAGAGGCATGAACCCCATGGCCAGGGCAAGACTTGTGGTTTTTATTTCTTTTCCCATGGGAGCCCCTGCTTCCACAGTCTTTACCTTCTCAAAGGACTTAAAACAGGCATTCACGTTAGACAAGAACCCCCACTCTAGTGGAACAGGCATTCACGTTAGACAAGAACCCCTGATTTAGTGGAACAGGCATTCACATTAGACAAGAACCCCTGATTTAGTGGAACAGGCATTCACGTTAGACAAGAACTGATATGCAATTTCCTGATCTCTAAACATCTCTGGAAGGCCTCAGAGAGTTGTTGTGAAGCTTCAAGAGGACTTTGAGTGGGAGGTGTCTGGTACAAGGCCTGGCACATTGTGGTCTGGACCACCCTCGTACTCTGTTCCCCCTTTAGGCATCAGGCCTAGGCCAGCCCACCCTCATGCCCCAGGGGTATTGTTGGAAGCTTTGTTGGAAGGGGTGGGGACATCCTTTAGGATACCCTTTCCTTCCTTGCGGAGGAAGATCAGGAGGGGACCCTGTAAGATCCAGTCTCCTTCCAGTACACAGACATAAATTTTTCTCCCCAAACCCCCCTTTCTGTTTGCTTTATAGAAAACCTTCAAGGAAACACTGTACTCCCCGTAACTCACGTACTTCAAGCTCTCGGAACTGTTGCTGTGGCTCTGGGGGCCCTGGGAGCTGCCTACTTCATCGCTGAATCCTTCTGAACTGGACCCCAGGCCAACAGTCCGGCAGGTATGTATGAAGATCGCCTTATCCCTTTTCTCTAGATAGAAATATCTCAAAGTGGACTAGGCCTTCAGCCAGTCAGGGCAAGCTCATGATCTAGACGACTCTTTCCTGCCTCAAGATGGTCTGCCATGGCTCTTTCAGGAGACCTTTCATTAGAACCATCAGGACAAAGCTAACCTCCTCCCTTGTCCCCTGACCTGCTATGGCTTCCCTAGTCCTGGATGGGAGGAAGTAGGATGGGAGGGTAGAGGTTGCTCACTATCTCGGAGCCTTTCTCAGAACTTCTAAGAAAGCTGGTTACCCTTCTCATCATCTCCTTGGTGGCTTGGCTCCCCTGGTGTACCCTCAACTCCAGTGACCGTTTCCACTCACACCAGTGTCCTCCAGCCTGTTCCACGTGGTTCTTTGGAATGTGTGTGATCTCTCCCACTCCTTACTTATAACGCACCATCTCTGCATGTGAGGATGTCTTCAGTCACCTCTTTCACCTGAGCCCCCTTGAGCCCCAGAAGCAGAGCCAGAAACAAGGATTGGGTGCACCTGATGCCTTGAGGAAGTACTCTCAGGAGAAAAGCCGGGGTGAGTGGGGGGGAGGCAAGAGTAAGAAGGGAAGGGGAAGGGAGGCTCCACCTGGCTCCACAGAGTCCCAGGATGTCATTTGTACAGCAGAGCCACCCCTTCAGGAGACACGAGGTCCCCTTATGTCCCTGTGTCACGTCATCATATGTGACCATGGGTGTAGGGAGGAAATTCGGGTCTTGGTGGGAAAAGCAACTTCTCAGGCGGGGGCCAGTCACTGGAGGAGGGGTAGGTCTAGGTCAGCAGCAGCCAAATTCTACCATTCAAAAAGCCAATGCATCTGCTGCGAAGGGAGCTGGGGAAGGTGATCACCAAGAGCACTCACAGTCATCCCAACAGCTAGGTCTTGTTCAGTGAATGCTTAAAAAGTGGTGGCTGAGGAAGGGAGTGAGAGCCGAGACATTTTGGCCGACCCCTTAGCCCTCCATCTTCCCTGGGAGTGGACAGGTGATGATTATAGTCAAACATAGGTCTGGGAACCAATGCTTAAAACATATAAACATCCAAATCCTGCAAATACTCCAGTGAGAGTGTAAACTCTTTTATGGAGCTCCTGATGTCTATTCAACGATCATCTAATACTAATTAAAATATTAAACCACCTGACCTCCAGGAAATACCACAGCACTTAAGAGCCTTGGCTTCCCTCTTCTTGGACTTGCTGGGAGTGAGGAGGTGTCTGTAGGAGAGAGCTGGTGGCTGTTGTGTCCTGTTATCATATCAGCTCGGTGTCTGAGAAGATTCTGGCTTTGGAGTTAACTTGACAATCTCTAGTCTAGACTGTGCCGCCTGGACTCAGTGTTAGAAACATGTTCTTAACTTCTCTGTCCATGTCATCTCTGGTGGAGAGTAACAGCTCTCTCTGAAGACAATGGTCATGAGGATTCAAAGAGAGAGATTCAGAGGTGTCCTACACAGGGCCACTGCCCAGGGTGGGGCACAGGAAGGATGCAAGCATTTTATCTATGAGATCCCTTGTAGCATCGCCGACTGCTTGAAGTATGGGTTCTGCAAGCCTGCAGGTTTAGGGTTAGATGTCCCTTTGGCATCCAGTGCCTGGAGCCAGGGGCCGGCTCTGACATCTCACTCTCTTCCCATTAAGTAGAAATAATACCAGCAGAACCCTCTTGTTGGGAAGATTGAGCTTTAAACATTAGTGATGGAGAGATGTCTCAGCAGTGAAGTACTTGCCTTGCAAGCATGAGGACGTGAGTTCAGACCCCCAGCACCCGTACAAAAAGCAGGAACCAGCAGCGTGACCCCAAGGCTGGAGAGCTAAGGCAGGAGGATTCTTGGGCCTTCCTGGGCAGCCAGTCTAGCCAGCCAGTGAACTCCAGTGAGAGACTACACCTTGTCTCAAAAGTAAGGTGGGGAGCAAGTGAGGAAGACATCTTGTTGACCTCTAGCTTCCATACATCTATGTATCAATCAGTACACATATGCAGAGACAGACTGGGGGGGAGGGGAGAGAAGAGAGAGGGAAAGAGAGACTGTGCTGCTGCAAAACGGCTCACTAGGTCACCTGAGACAAACCAGGATCCTCTGCAAGAACAAGTGCTCTTCATGGCTCAGCCATTTCTCTCCAGACCTTTAATTAGCTTTTGAAGTAACAAGTTCCTGTACGGCATTTTCACATATACTTAATTTGGGTTGATTCTCCCCGACTCCTCCCATCTTCCCACCCTCCCATCCGAATTGTACTCTTCTGTCTGGGAATTGTCCCTTCCACGTCTCTTGTGACCTATCATCCTCCCCACACCCTTACTTAAAGCCTCTTTCTCCTATCTCCTGGGCCCCTTTCTAGCTTCCTGACACCTACTCACACATATTCCCACATACAAATCTGCTTCCTCTTAGAGAAAGATGCTCCCAGAATTTTCCTTCCTAGAGCTTGGTGAACCAACGTCTCCCTCAGCATTTTCCTCAGCTGATAATGAGGCAACAAAAGTAAAAAGTTCCTTTGGGACATTGAATATGGTCAAAGTCAGCACCATAGCCAACCTCTGGGGGAATGAGGCTCCCTCTTCGCTGCCGCGGTCTCTCGAGGAATGGGGAGTTAACAGGGAGGATGCCGACCCTGGCAGAGCCGAGAGGATGCTCTTGGACTTTACTGTCACAGCCTTGGGGTGAGTCAGTGTAGCTGACTTCGATTGGAGAAGGAAACAAGAGGAATGGGAGAGATCCGTGAAGAAGGAAGAGAAGGAAGAAGAAAGAGAGGTGGGAGAGAGAAAAGAAGAAGAGAGAAGGGAGAGGAGGAGGAAGAACAGGAGGAGGATAATAAAAGGAATTTGAATTCTAAAATAATTTACTTTTTTTGCAAAAAGCATTTAGCTGTTGAACCCTCATAGATAAGACTGTAAAAGTTGAAAGCTGTTGAGATAGGTCACGAGGGACTGATTAAGCTAATGGTTCTGTCATTTATTTATTTTTCCTTACAGATCCAGTTTCCATCCAAGGATCTCACTTGTCACCAAAATAGAGAGAGAAAAGTATCTTGTCTCTTTTCTTCATTTTATGTTATTTAATTTATTTATGTATTTAGTTTTTCGAGACAGGATTTCTGTGTAGTTTTGGTGCCTGTCCTGGATCTCGCTCTATAGACCAGGCTGGCCTCGAACTCACAGAGATCCGCCTGGCTCTGCCTCCCAAATGCTGGGATTAAAGGCATGCACCACCGCCACCACCACCACCGCCCGGCTTATTTTTTTATTTTTGAGACAAGGACTTCTATGTAGCCCACATTAGCCTTAAACTCAATATCCTCCTACCTCCTGCAGAATGCTAGGGTTACAGGCGTGTGCTGCCTGCCACACCCAGCTAGAAATCTGTCTTCAGTGTCTTTTGCTCAGAAATATGGAAGTTGGATCCAGCACACTGTCAGGGAGGTAAGTGCCTTTAAGATGTTTAAAGCTGGAGTAGGAACCCACTATTCCTGGTCTTGGCCTCTCTGCACACACTGCACACATTCAACAAGACAATGTGTTTTCACTTTTCTCACTCTAAAAGCAAGAATTGCAAGGCTCAAGTCAATGCCTGATTTAACTAGTCAGCCTCACCTCAGGCCAGTTAGTAGGGGCAGGAGGAATAAGCTAACACAAAGCCTACGTTATGGGAGGCAAGAGCCCTAAACCCAGCAGGGCTGTCTCTGGGAAATAGTCCCTTTTGTGATGGGGTCCTGACCTGCTTACACCCTGTAGCTGCTTCTGGCCAATGCTGGGTGAGCTTTTTCTTCTCTTAGGTAAAATCTTAGTCAACAGAAATCCCAGCAAATGCTCCTGGAAAAGGCAGATATTACAAGGAAAGGAGATGGACAGCACTGGTTACAGTGGCCTCTGCAGGCAGCTGGAGTCAGACTTTGCTGGTGCCACCCTGGAAGATGGCACTACACACCATAAGAATAATCCCACCCAAGAGAAAACTAAGCAGTGAACAGCCACTCCTGTCCTCCATTGATGGAGGCCTACTAGGAGGGAGATGGCTGTACTTCTGTCCTCCTCTGGAGAGGAAACCTGTAGACAGAGAAGAGTAGATGTCAGAGAAAGCTGTGCCCTGTAGATGTAACCAACCATCTTATTAAATAAGAAATACAGAGCCGATTCAGAGAAGAAAGCCAAGAGGTCAGAACTAAGAGCCTTACCCTTCCTGCTTCAGCCAAGAGAACTCTCCAAAAAGGACCTACTTCCTGTGTGTATGTCTTTATATAGTCTAGCTGTTCTGCCTTCTCATTGGTTGTAAACCCAAACACATGACTGCCTCGTCATTGCCTGTCTGTAGAGACTTCCAGGTCTTCTATGGTTGGTATTGAGATTAAAGGTGTGTGTCTCCAATGCTGGCTGTATCTTTTTACACACAGAGATCTACCTAGCTCTGTCTACCAAGTGCTGGGATTAAAGGCATGCGCCACCACCGCCACGCTCTTGCTATGGCTCTAATAGCTCTGACCCCTGGGCAACTTTATTTATTAACATACAATTAAAATCACATTTCAGTACAAATAAAATACCACCATAGTGCCCAAATATTGTGGGGCAGGTAAAGGTGGGCTAAGAAGTTGCTGTTTCTCTAAGAGTTGGCCAAGGGGGAATCTAGCCGGACTGCCCCTGATGAGGCAGGGGACTGATCTTCCTGTAGCAATAGACAGAATTGGATGGGATAGGCCAGGCTGGTTAGTTACTGGGATCCCCAGAACTCTAGAATCTTTGTTTAAGGTGATCTCAGCAAACACCACTAGCTGAAGGAAATGTCCAGGGAACAGAGGTAGCCAGCCCTGGGATTCCCTCCCTGAGCCTATAAAACTTTCTCTGAAAAGTCAGGCTCTTGAAGAATGCATAACAAGAGACACAGAGGGTTGTGCTTCTGCCCTGTGTGGCAGTTTGAGATGAAAAAGCCCACAGATATCAGAAACCTACTGACCCTGCTTCGGCAAGGCCTGACTCCTATGACCGAAGATGAACTCCTCTCCCTGGTGTATTCATTAGACCCCCTTTGTTGTAAATCACTTGGCAAAACCTTGACCCTGGTTAAACACAGCCCTCTGCCCTGCACATAGGCTGTGCAGGCTTATGCAGACACACTTGGAGCTGCTCACCCACACAAGCCAGACTCACATTAGTTGCTCTCTCGCTCTGTTCATTTTCTCAATCTCCCTTAGTGCCTCATGTATCCCAGGCTGGCCATGTCTCCCAGGATGGTCTCATGTATCCCAAATTCCCTATGTAGGAGGAGAACAAATTCCCTGAGAAGACCTTGAACTGATCCTCCTGCCTCCACATCACAGGTGCTAGAATTACAGGAATACACCGCCATGCACAGTTTATACTGTACTAGGGATCAAACCCAGGGCCATGAGCATTCTAGACAATCACTTCAGCAACTGAGATGCATCTCTAGCCCCAGACTTACTTTAAATACCTGATCACAGACTCCAGGTGGGACTGTGAGGGGCTAGGGCTCAAGTCACCCTATATTCCCCATGCATTTATCTGTTGTCCTTAAACCTCCTCCACCTCCTTCCCCCTATCACTAAGACTCTGCCCACAGTACCTCTCTAGTAACTACCCATTACCCTGTCCCTGAGGCACTGACTGATGGGACCATGCTGACCACATACGTGTTCTAGGAACCAAAGTAAATGGACTCAACCATCATGGGTTCTTTTGTCTGGTTGCTTTCATTCAACACAATGTTTTGAATTTATATTTCAGTCCTGTATGTAGCAATAGTTCTCTTTTTATTTCTAAGTGTGTCTCCATTCATCTGCTACTGATAAAGGGTTATTTTCAGGTACAGTTCATAAATAAATTTTTTAATAAAAGCGAAGTTTTCACTTTTTTTAAGACCTAGAAAAGAAATTACTGGGTTCTAAGCATATGTTTAACTCACTTGGTGAGAAATTTTCTGAAGTGTTTGTACCATCTGAGACTCCTCCATCAGAACTGTGTGCGTTCTGGAGGCTCCACACTGCCTAGCCATTTAGTGAGCCAGTGCGTGATACCCCTCTGGACCAACAAAAAACTTTTTACTGACCCGCTGTCTAGATCTGTTATTAAAGAATTGACAGTAAATGTTTAGCTGTGAAAGTGGTTTATAGTCAGGGTTAAAACAGTATATATTCTACATATATTATATATGCTATATATGGTATAAATAGAACACTAGATGGTAGAAATTCAGAGGAAGTTGAAATGGGTGATTGTTGTGGGAACCAGGTGAGGGGTCATTTTTACTTAGGGGTTCATGGCATGGCACTCTGCAGAAGGATTAGTTTAAGCAGAAAGCCATTGAGAAATAGCTCTTTGACCTCTCTGATCTACCTGAAAACAGAGCACAATTTCTGCTGTTACAATGAGATGACCTCACCCCAGGAAGGGTAAACAGTCTTGTCCCTGGAGACAGCTTATAGGGAAACCACCCCACACAAAGCTTGCCTCATCTGCCACTAGTGACCCCACCTTCGTACCCTTCCTTCCACAGTTGGCCACCATACACACTCAGACCTTTTACAACTTCCCTACAAAAGTCGTTTGTGAAGATGCTCTCTAAGTCCTTCCTTGTGTTATTTCTCTGAATGCCCTCATGCGTGCCTCGTTAATAACTTGTTTTTTTCTTGTTAATCTGCCTTTTGTCAGTCTAATTTGGAGGGCACTGTCAACAAACCTAACATGGGTAAATGAAAAAGGATTTTTCCCTCCACATTAGATCTGAATTTTTTCATCCCCAACCCCCAAAATCTATATGTTAAAACCTAAGCCAATCCCCAATATGTCAGTATTAGAAGGTGGGGCCTTTGGAACATGATTAGGTCATGCAGGTGGTGCCCTCATAAATGAGTTTAGTACCTTTATTAAAACAAAAGCACCAGGTGGTGGTGGACAGGCCTTTAATGCCAGCACTCGGGAGGCAGAGCCAGGCGATCTCTGTGAGTTTGAGGCCAACCTGGTCTACAGAGGGAGATCCAGGACAGGCACCAAAACTACACAGAGAAACCCTGTCTCAAAAAACAAAAAAAAAAAAGAAAAGAAAAGAAAAGAAAAGAAAAGAGAAGAAAAGAAAAAGGTCCTGGGGCTGAGGATGTAGCTCAGTTGTGGAGTGTTTGCCTAGTATGTACAAAGAAAGCCCTGGCTTCAATCATTGGCACAACATAGACCTGCAGTCCCAGCACTCTCTAGGTAGAGGCAGAAGGATTAGAAATTCAAGACCATCCTCCACGGCATAGCAAACTCAAGACCAGCCTAGGCCACAGAAGACCCTGTCTCAAACTCAATTGTGCCTCCAAAAAAATTTCTCCTCTGCTCTCATGCCTCACAACACTGAAGACTCCTGAAAACCTCTGTGACCTCAGGAAGAGAGGAGACTTCTCCACACCAGCAAGCAACACTGATGCTGTGGTCAACATCCTTGAGTCTTTCCAATCCAGTTCTGACACAGCCTGCCTGGAGATAGATCCTACAGGTTGAGGGCTCAGATCTCAAGACTGCCCCCATCCAGCAGGTTCTAGACCCAGACTCTGTGCTTCTGACCCACTGGCATAAATCAAAGTTTCCCCAAGCTCTCCTCGTATTCGGGTTTGCTAGAATGACCCCCTAGGGACCCAAGGAAACATGTTTATTAGCTACAGAGGCCGGGCGGTGGTGGCGCACGCCCTTAATCCCAGCACTTGGGAGGCAGAAGCAGGTGGATCTCTGAGTTTGAAGCCAGCCTGGTCTACAGAGTGAGTTCCAGGGCAGCCAGGACTGTTGCACAGAGAAACCCTGTCTTAAAAAAAAAAAACTCCTGAGGGTAGGGTATGGGGATGGAGCAAGGAACTTCCCTGTCCTCTCGTGCACCATCCTCTGTGAACAACCATGCAGGATAGCCCCAGCCTTGTCTATGGAGACTTTATTGCCTAGGCATGATACAAGCACAGACACCAGTGCAGAGACGTGATTGGACAAAAAGAGATTGTTCCAGTGATGGATGACTGAATGGGTGGGGGAACACACAGCAAGGCCTGTTAGGGTTCCTCTCAGCATCTCTGGGCAGCATTTCTCCCTCTAGGGTGATGGGGAGGCTGTTGTGACCTCTGGTAGATCATAGAATTTCTTTACAGTCAACTGCAAGATGGTTAGAAGAAGCCTGGAGTTTCTACAGCCGACCTGGGGGAAAAGAAATTCTGGCTTTATGGCCTGCACCAGAGAGGGGAAGCTTAAAGTGGTAAATATAAATTTAAAACACACACATTATACCACACAGGTATTTTTGAGACAGCAGTGCAAATAGACTAAGATATTCCCTACACTACTTTTGTATATTCTCAAATTTTTCTGTCATTGTTTGCTGATGAGAAATGTCCGCTGCACTCTGGGTGGCACCCTCGGAAGCAGGTGTTAGAGAAAGGTAAAGGCTTTTAAAAGTCAGGTGGCTTAGCAAGGAGACAAAGCCCTGGCTTCAACCATCGGCACAGCATAGACCACATTGATCTCCCAACAGCACTCAGTACCTTCTAACATACTGTAAACTACATCCCCAGACAAAATAAAGCCATTTTCTTGGTCTGGGCCCTAGAACTAAAAGCTAAATGGTTCTCAACCTGTGTGTCAAGACCCTTTTGGTGGTTCGAACAACTCTTTCACGGGAGTCACATATCAGATGTCCTGCATATCAAATATTTACATTATGATTCATAACTAGCAAAATTTACAATTACAAAGTAGCAATGAAATAATTTTTGGTTGGGAGTCACCACAGCATGAGGAACTGAACTGTACTAAAGGGCCGCAGCATTAGGAAGGTTGAGAACCACTGATCTAGGGGTTAGACAACTGATCCTAGAATAAAATCCTCTGTAGTGATAGTCCATGCATGCCAATGACTTTGAAATGCATTCTGGTGGGGGGGGGGGGTGTCAAAACTGCACATCTGGATTCCTCAGCTCTGTGACCCCCAAGTGCACACAGTGTATCTGAAGCAAGAGCTAGGATAGCGGTACTGGGGACCCTCTGACACTCTTTGTCCTTCCTGGGGGTCATTCCAACAGGCTGACCACAAACTACAGATGGAGGGCCTGTGTCCTAGGAGACGAGTCATGAATGAGAACAGATACGAGCTAAATACCTCCGCCTTTCTCACGGTGATCTCCAAGAGGCGCTGCCTGCCGCGGCTCAGGGACCTACCATGGGCTCTTGGACTGGGGCCAAAGCCTTTGGTGAACGCTTGGAGTCAGGTGTTTCTGCCTCTTGAGAACAAAGATGAGGTGGGGATCAGTTCAATAAACTACACAGGTGACTCTTAACTAAGGCAAAGGGGATAAAAAGGAAACCCTTACGAAGAGGGAGGTGAACCCCATTCAAACTGGAGCAGCCGGGCCCCACCCACCAAGGCGCTCAGCCCTCTATACAAAGACATATCCTTGAGCAAGAGGACGCTCAAAGCTGGGAAAAGAAGCCCTCCTGGGCCTTGGCTGCGAGTTTGCTTCTCACGGCTCAGCTCCCTGGAAACCTCCGGGGAGAAATGACTCACACACACATCCCAGCATCCTCTGCTCTTGGCAAGGGCAGCTTCTTGCTTCCCCAGCCTGGAGCTGCTGAGGGGGATGAAGTGTGGATGCTTTCTCGTCTTGCCCCCCTGCACTGTTCACAAACACAGAAAGACCTCATTCACAACCGGCTATTGAAAGCTTGCTGGAAATGCAAATTGCTCAGAAGCGGATCCTTCTTTTCAAACATCAACGTTGCATATTCCTGATGAGAGCTGCTAAGCAGGCCTGGCTTCCCGAGGCCGCCGGAGGCTCCTGAATGTTTGCAGGGAGCAGAACTTGGGGCTGGCAGCCGAGCAGGAGGCTCACCCTTTCCGGGATCTGCAGGTGCCGGGTCTCCTGCGTTTTTGCAGAGGTGCCACTTTTGTCCCTTCATTTGGGTCCCGACAGAGCTGTTGCTGATCCACAGCTCAAATCCAGAAAACTGGATAAGCTACTAAATGAGCCAGTAGCTCCCTCCACCCCAGTAACCCGGAGGCTCTAGGTAAGGTCTCCCACCCCAGACTCTGAAGATGACTGTCAAGAAGCATGAGGCTGGCTGACGGTGCTCCCCACCCTCCTCTGGTGCTCCTGACCCAGCCCCCAACCCAGTATTCCAGGGTCCCTTGTTCCCCACAGGCTCTTCCTCTCAGGCATCAGATAGCAGTCCGTGGGGCTGAGATAACTGAAGAGCCCAGGCTCTTTCTTCCCTCTCAATAGCCCCATCCCCCACCAAACAACCACTTGGGTGGTTTTCTTCAGGATTCTGTAGAATTTTACACTAAAGATTTGCACCTGCTTTTTCCACTTTCCAAGAGAATCTTTTCACGAAATGTCGTTGTTTGGGGTAGGGGGGGGGGGGTGGGGGAGTAGTTGGTTTTACTTTGTTTTATTTTTCAACAGGGTCTCACTGTGTAGCCTTGGCTAGCCTGGAAGACATTGTGCAGATCAGGATAGCCTCAAACCCACAGTAATCCTCCTGCCTCTGCCTCCTGGGTTTTGGATGTGTACCAACATGCCCAGGATGTAGCTAGATGGCCTAGAACTCATGATCCTCCTGCCTCAGCACCTCCAGTAGTACTGGGATAACAGGTGAATGTCACCAAACCCAGCCAATTTCTCATGGCTGCGTGATGTTCCAGCATATGCCTGGTT